GCGGCCATAACAGAGACATTCTCTAGGTTTGGAGAGAGGCACCCTATAAAATATCTCTGTCACGACCCCAACAGTTCAGAGGAGGAGGAGGAGCTGGAATCAAGACCGTCCGACGAGAACAGCGGGTTTTCCCATGGAATGTCTGGGGAGTCTAGAGCAGAGGTGGGTTGCTGCTGGTTCAGCCCGGTTTAGTCGAACCGGTAGCGGAATTCAAGCCTGGATCACAGACCCATCAGCGGCACAGGCCTCACATGAACCCGAACCGGTTCTCTCGCCGCCTTATTGGATTTTAGTCGCTGCACATGTAGAGTTCACTGTAAATTGTTCTAAGGATGCACGCAGAATTACACGGGGGTTGCAAACAGGTAGTAAAACTGGCAGCAACCCACCACCCCTGGTCTAGGGGCCGAGGACGATGATCTCCCAGGGCCCTTCAGCATTGGGGGAGGTAGTCGGCTGGACAGGCAGCTGCCTGCCCTCAGAGGATCAGCTGTGTTAGGAATATAATCTAACGGCTGGGTTGGCAATATATAAATCATGTAACAATGCTGTACCTTCTTTAAATCATACCGTAAAATGTGATTGGTTGCTGTTTCCTCAATCGGCCATAAGAGGGAGCCAGAATGACTGTTAGCTTTCTGTTCGTTAGATGCTGGGCTGATCTGATCTGAGTGTTTTGGAAGCTGGCTGTTAGAAAGTGCCGTGAGCTATTGTAAGTTTTGCAACTGCTAGAAAAACTTTGAGTTCTGAACTGCTTATATGATACTGGACTATGTTATTTGGATTATCCCGTAACTGAAAGACGTTGATGACTGACTGTCTTACCCGTGTATGACTTGGATGGTTTGATGGACACTGATACCTCTATTTCCACGAAAGTAAAAGCCTATTTAAACTGCAGTGACTCTGTATGCTGGTTTGTGTGTTCTCCAACACAACTCTCCCAACGCTTCTCTGAACGCTCTCGCTCTCCCAACGGGGAGCTTACCTAACAGGCTGCAGACAGGCAGTGGTGTTCAGAGGCAGAAGATTCCCTCTGACTGGGAACAGCTGCCTTTCCCCAAGTGGGTCAAGGGCACAAAGAGCGGAGTGGAGGCAAAGGAGATCAGCGAGGCTGCTGGCGAGGAGGCCGCCCAGGCACTTCCCCCAAGGAACATCTGCCTTGAGTTGATTTAAAGGCTTTGTCGGGAACAATCTGATTTGCCTCTTGTTAAATTAATTTACAAACAGGTAGTCCTCAGGTTATGGAGGCTTCCTACTATAGTTGTAAGTATAATATAGAAAAATGGTTGGTCAAGTGATTGATCCAAAGTCGCTCACCCAGCTTCCATTCCTGAGCTGGGACTAGAATTCACTCTCTCCTGGTGACTGGCTCAAGGTCACCCAGCTAGCATTCAAGGCTAAGGTGGGACTAGATGTCACAATCTCCTGGTGATTGGCCCAAAGTCATCCAGATGGCCTTCATGCCTAAAACGGGACTAGAACTCTCACTCTCCTGGTGATTGGCCCAAAGTCACCCAGCCAGCTAGCATACCTAAGGGGAGACTAGAACTCACTGGCTCCTAGAGATTGGCCCAACGTTACCCAGCTGGCTTTCCTGACTAACCTGGGACTAGAACTCACTGTCTCCTGGTTCCTACGCTGGCTCCTTAATCACTTGACTGAACTGGCTCAATCAATCCATCCATCCCTTCCTTACAGCTACCGATCAAGGATATTTTAGGTCTCTAAACATGCTCATGAGGTCTTTGCACCCAGCTAGACCAGGTCAACAACGAGACATGGTCGAAGCAGGCACGGCAGCGCCTGCATTTTCTGTGTCGCGTGAGAAGAACACATCTTCATTCCCCCTGTCCTCACCACTTTCTATAGAGCAGTGGTGGCGAATCTTTTTTCCATCAGATGCCAAAAGCCCGTGCGTGCCCACACCCGTAATTAAATGCCTCCCTGCGTTGTGCCCCCCTGCACATGCGTTCACGACACCACCCCCTGCATGTGCGCATGGCTTTCTTGGAGCCTGGAGAGGGCAAAAATGTGCCCCCCTCGCCACTGTAGAGGGTCTCTGGTGATTGGAAACAGCCTGTTTCCCGACTTCTGGTGGACCTGGTAGGTCAATTTTTCACCCTCCCCAGGCTTCAAGAAGTTTTATGGAGCTGACATAGGGCAACGCCTTGCATGCCCTCAGATATGGCTCTGTGTGCCATCTGTGGCACACGTCCATAAGTTTGCCATCACGGTTCTAGAGGAAGGATTGAGAGCATCCTGTCGTATTGCATTACAGTCTGGTTAGGAAGCCTTATGGCTTCGGACAGGAAGGCAGTGCAGAGAGTGGTGAGGACAGTGGAAAAGATTATTGGCAGTTCACTCCCTTCTATCTAGGGTGTGGCACATAAGCAATGCTTGAGCAAAATCTGCAGGATTGCCTGGGATGCTACGCAACCTGTTTTCCTTGTTACCTTCCTTCAATCTTGTGAATTCTCAAGCTTCCTCTTTCCGCTATGTACTCAAGATGGCCAGCTATTAATATTTATAAGTTTAGGTTTTAAGTCAAGGGTGTCAAACTCAAGGCCCAGGACCCAGATTCAGTCTGTGGGGTGCTTAGATTGGGGCCACCCTGGAGACAGCGAAGGACCGGCCTGTGTTGCTTCTGCCAGCAAAAATGAAGCTCAGGAGGGACACGTGCCCCAAACTCCGTTTTTGCTGGCAGATGGTTGCAGGAGGCTGTTGCAGCTGGAAACGGAGCTCAGGAGGGCCACCCCCCCCAAGCTCCATTATCTCCGGCAGAGGGTTGCAGGAGGCCATCACAGCCAGAAACGGAGTTCGGGAGGGCCACCATGTCCCCCCCACAAGCTCAGTTTTCACTGGCAGGGGATTGCAGGAGGGTGTTGTAGCTGAAACAGAGCTCGGGAGGGCCACCATGTCCCCCCCAAGCTCCGTTCTCTCTGGCAGAGGGTTGCAGGAAGCTGTCACAGCTGGAAATGGAGCTCGGGAGGGCCACCACGTCCTCCTCAAGTTCCGTTATCTCCGGCAGAGGGTTGCAGGAGGCCGTCACAGCCAGAAACGGAGCTCGGGAGGGCTAACATGTCCCCCCACAAGCTCAGTTTTCACTGGCAGGGGATTGCAGGAGGCTGTTGTAGCTAGAAACAGAGCTCAGGAGAGCCACCACATTCCCCCCCCCCCCCCACCCTCTGCA